GCTTAAACAATTCTCTTGCTTCATCCTTCCAAGCAGCTGGGACCACGGGCACCTGCCACAATGCCCAGCCATTTTTTGGTTGCAGTTGTCATTGTTGTTTGGCAAGCCTGGGCTGGATTCAAACCCGCCAGCTCCAGAGATTGTGGCCGGTGCCCTACTCACTGAGCTACAGGTGCCAAGCCACAAGCTCAATCTAAAGCCTCACCAGATTCACCTGGCACCACTACCTGCCCCAACCCCGTTTCTACTTAACCCACCCCAGCACTGCCCACCCTAATCCACTGTGTGAATCTGCCCCCTGCAGAAATCCAGCCTCCCTGAGTGTTATGATTACAGGCATGAGCCACCGTGTCTAGCCCTTTCACTTTCTTTGAGACAGTAGAGACCATATCCCCTTCCCCAGGACACAGGAAGAAGCTGCTGGAGAATTTGGGGGTAGATAAAAATCCCCAGAAAAGTCTCTTGCCCTGTGGTTCAGCTGAATGCCAGTCCACTGTCTGGCCTCTGGCCCTGCCTAAGGCTCTAGGCTACCATTGGCTTTCCCCTCAGGGCACTACCTAAAAAGTAACCCCATTAAGTGATTCCACTTGCCTCTCAGAGTCCTAAAGCCCAAGGTCTCACATACCAGGCAGGGGACTAGGGACCTAATTTTGATTCCTTCCAGACCTAGGCTCTATCCCATCCTGGGGGAGGAAGTGGGCAGACACTGAAGAGTTCCCTAGCAGCCTGGTATAGGGTGCTATAGCTGGCTAACCCCCAGAACCAGGCCTGAAGACTCCACCTTCGCCCAGCCCCCACGAGGGTGGAACTGGGTTGAGAATGTGTACTGTCTACAGCCGGGAATCAACCAGGCAGTGGCTATGTCAGTCCACATGGCCATGTAATGCTGAGAGCTCAGCAGCTATGTCTGAGGCTTACCTCACATTCTTCTTCCCTTCTCTTCCCCCATGAGGCTGTGAAGATCCTCGCTTCCCCTCTGTGCCCCTGACCTGCTTGGTGACCTCTGTTGCTGCTTCCTCTCTTCCTGTGCCTTTCTCTATCCCCAGGGGACATGAGGAAGGCATGTGCATGGCAGGACCCAGGAACATGACCACCACCTCAGCCTTCCTCAGCACTGCTGAATTAGGGCAAAGGGCAGCATAGTTACAAGTGCCCTGAACTTGTGGTCAAACATGCCAGAGTCCAACTCGTGTTTCTGTCACTTATTGGCTAGGTGGCCTAGGACAAATTACTTCGCTAAGCCTTCGTTTCCTACCACAAAATAGGAGCGTGGTGATGCCTATTTTGCAGGGTTGTTGGGGAGGACATATACATCAGAGATGTTATTTATATACCAGAAAGTGCTATACACAAGACATGGGTGATGGCAGCCTTGAGAAAGAGCCATCTCTCTGGCATCTGTAGGGGATGGGGTATAGGTTGGGAGTTGGGCAATCCCTTCAGGACCAAACACTTCCTTCCTTCCACCTGGTGGCAGCTTTCCCAAGTGAGGGTGATGGGGACCCTGGGGGCCAGAGGTTTTCTAGACCAACCTTCAGAGGAGAAGGTAGAGGCGTCAGTGGTGGATGCCACACCAGCCAGCCGAGGTCCTCTCTCCCAGCTGGGTAACCTGTTTACATCTGAGAGAGCACAGAGTGACTATAGTGGCAGCACCCCTTCCCCATGCCATTCATCCACTAAACATCTCCTAAGACACTCCATGTGTCAAGCCCCCAGGTGTACCCTAGAGATGTGGAGTTGTTTTGTTTGTCCGTTTGAGACAGAGTCTCACTCTGTTGCCCATGATAGAGTGCTCTGGCATCAGCCTACCTCACAGAAATCTCAAACTCCTGGGCTCAAGTGATCCTCCTGCCTCAGCCTCCCAAGTAGCTGGGACTACAGATGCCTGCCACAATGACCACCTAATTATTTCTACTTTGGGTACAGATAAACTCTCTTGCTCAGGCTGGTCTGAAATTCCTGAGCTCAAAGGATCCTCGAGGTCCCGTACTTTTGGCCTCCCAAAGTGTTAGGATTAAGGCAGGAGCCACTGCCAGCTGAGATGCAAAGATTTTTGTTTTTGAGACAGAGTCTCACTATGTCACCCTTGGTAGAGTGCCA